AGGACGTCCTTCTTCACCCAAAGAGTGATTAACACTTGGAATTCACTGCCACAGGAAGTGGTGGTGGCTACAAGCATGGACGGCTTCAAAAGGGAATTAGATAAGCATATGGAGCAGAGGTCCATCAGTGGCTATTAGCCACAAGGTATAGATAGGGACTCTGGGGCAAGTGATGCTCTGTCATCTTGGTGCTTGGGGGGGTCAACAGTGGGATGGCTTCTAATGTCCTGGCCCCACTGGTGGACCTCCTGATGGCACTGGTATTTCTGGCCACTGTGTGATACAGAGCGTTGGACTGGATGGGCCTTTGGCCTGATCCAACATTGGCATCTCTTATGTTCTTATGACTGGGAAAACCAAGCTCCCCGGCTTCAAATGCTGGGAAAAGTAGGATCTGTTTATCTTTGAAAGTCTGCAACACTTTCTGTGGGGCCAGAGCTAAGTTGCAATACACACATGCATGGAAACACAGGCTTGCTTAGTCGCCTGAGGTACAAAAGTCCGAGTAACCCACTCTCCCCCCCCCCATCAGTGTTCTCGTTCAGACACCCTGTGTCTGATCCCTGCCTTGGGATACCCGGCAGGAAGTGCATGGAGGAGGGCATTGGGAGCGGAAACCCCGTGAAGGCACCTGCCAGCTTCCACCGGATTCCGTGCAGACCAACTGACTGGTGTGGACGTGAGGTGTCTGATGAGACGTGCCCTGTGGCTCCGGGCTGGCCCGGCTGGGGAGGGAGATGTTGGCGGGCCTGACCCCTCCGGGTGGATTCCGCTCTGTCCCCCCTCGAATGAAACTCTCCTGCCCGGGTGGAGACCCGTCTGGGAGGGAGGGGGACTCGATTTTCAAAGCAGAAATAGGAAAGAAATGTGTCAAGTGCCAGGAAAGGAGGGCAGCTCAGGAGGAGGAGAGGAATCTATTCAGCAGTGCTTGAGTTCTAGGTCACACTTGCCTGACGGGGGATTCACCGTTGCCACGGACTCCTGAACGGAGCGGAAGCAGGCGGGCAGGATTTGCTGGGTTTAGATTGTTCTCAGCAAGCAAAGCAGCTTTCTCTTCTTTCCTATCATTTCTTGGTGAAACCTCTTTGGAAGAGGAGGAGGAGGAGGAGGAGGAGGAGGAGATTGGACTTATACCCTGCCCTTCAGAGCGGCTTACCATCCCCTTTCCCTTCCCCTCCCCACAACAGACACCCTGTGAGGCCGGTGGGGCTGAGAGAGCTGTGCCAGAACTGTGGCTTGCCCAAAGTCATGCAGCCAGGTGCAAGTGGAGGAGGAGTGGGGCATCAGACCTGGTTCTCGCAGATCAGAGTCCGCCCACTTCACCATGACACCAACCTGGCTTCCAGATCCCTCCTTTTTTACGGGTCTCTCGATTCACGTCCTGTCAGTCTGCACAGGCCCTCTTGCCCAGTCCCCTTAGGCTGCCGGGGAGCATTCGGGGAGGGGCCCTCTCATCCAGGGTGATGAAAAGGCCACTCCACAGCAGCCCCCCCCCCCGGGAAAGGGAAGTGTTCACACTCCAGAGGGAGGTTCAATGAAAGAGAGCGCCGCCCGGAGGCCCCCCCCCCCGCCCCGCCAGAACAGCACCAGACAGAGGAAGACCGGGGGGGGGGGGGGATGTTTGGCAGCCGCTTTCTGCAGAGCGGCTGCCGGACATGCCGGAGAGGACTTCCTATTTCAGCACCATGGGCAGAGGGCCTGGGCCTGGGAGCCGCCG